CATTTTAACATTGCTTAGCTTTGTCATGTTTTTCTAGCAGTTCACTTTAATTTACCCTCTAATCACTAGCCAAGGACAGAGGTTTCTCGGAGGTAGCTATTGATAATTGTCTTATAACCCCCTTCCCTGCTTGTTTTGTAAAGTTAACCTAAACAGCCCATCATGACCTTCATGACACAGACCCCATCAACATGGCAACTGCCATGTGACTGACCCACCCATCTGCCTGCCATCAGTATCTGTACTTACCTGTCCCCTTCACGATGACATGGAACAGACCACCACCCAATCTCCTTAATGACCTGCCCCCATCAAAGGGAAAGTTTAAAAGGCATTCGACTTCAAACAGCAGTCACCACTGCTTTGTTAAACTCTGGTGTGTCCATGTGGCTCTTTTAGCTATGACCACCATGTTTATTAGCTTTGGCCTCCTCCCCTACCTTGGGGAAGTGAATCTCCTCTCTCCCTCTCTTCCTCTCTAATTTACCTTCTAAATAAACTATTTTTTCCAATCGAATTTCAGTGCAATTCTTCGCATCTGTCATGCAGCACCAGATCTCCCAACCGCATCGGGTCTGACCCAACAAATACCCAATGATAGGAAAGTCGGTATGAGATATAAACTATTTTTTAAAATCCCATTATCTTCATTGAGAGTAGTTAGATAAACTGTCATTGCTTTCATACTTTATCACCCATATAATTGAATATGAAATCTTCCCCTTGAATCAATTATAGTAGAATGTCAAATACGAGATAAACACACAAAACAATGTTGTTAGAAATCTAATTATGTCAATAAATCTGCAAATAAAATACATTTTCCCTAAGAAATGAACCTACAACCCCAGCCCAGATGGCAAATAGCCTCATTGGATAAGAAATTCTTCACTTAGAGCCTAACAATAGCTCGTCTATTTCTCCCTTGAAATGATCAAGTTTCATTCAAGTAGAGTAACAGTCTATATTGTATCTCTACATATAAGTTTTGAGTATTGGCATATGCTTCCTGGTACAAATACAGTACTACAGGAAGAAATATCATAAAGGTAACAGAACAAGCTGAAGGGTTTTACATGTTTTAGAAAATTTAAACTAGCCAGATAATGCCTTTTATAATCAGACATGCATCCTTTTTAATTTTTCTTTCTCCCTTTTTCCTTTTTTTTTTTAAGTCAGAGTCTCACTCTGTTGCCTAGGCTAGAATGCAATGGCACGCTCATGGCCACTGCAGACTAGACCTGCTAGGCTCAGGTGATCCTTTCACCTCAGCATTCCAAGTAGCTGGAACTACAGTCACACACCACCATGCCTGGTTAATTTTTTTTTATTTATTGTAGATACAAGGTCTTGCCAAGTTGCACAGCATAGTCTCGAACCCCCCTGGGCTAAGGCTCATTTTTCAATATATTAATTGCTTCACAGGAAACATGCTGCGAAATTAAAACTTAACCTACATATAGTACCAATGATCATAGTATGAATCATATTATGCTACCTCAAAAACACCTGTGAAGAAGGCAAAATGTACTATCCTATTTTTGAAAGTCCTCAGAAACTAAGTTACTTTCTTAAACATCTAATTCCAGCTGGATGTGGAGGCTCAAGCCTGTAATTCCAGCACTTTGGGAGGCCAAAGTGAGAGGATTGCTTGAGCCCAGGGGTTCCAGACCAGTCTTGGTCAACTTGGTGAGACCTCATCTCTACAATATATCAAAGAATTAGCTGGGCATGCTAGCACATGCCTGTGGTTCTGGCTACTTGGAAGGTTGAGGCAGAAGGATCGCCTGAGCCCAGCAGGTTGACACTGGGGTAGCTGTGAACATGTCACTGCACTCCAGCCTGGGTGACAGAGTGAGACTCCAACTCAAAAAGAAAAATAAAAAATAAAAAAATAAACATCGAATTCCTCCCCAGCCCCGCCCCACATTCCTCCTTGTCTGCCCAGCCATCTGTTTTACGTATCTTGAGCTGAAAAGGCCTAAACAAATCCCCAGTAAGTTTTCATCTTAGATTAAGATGAGACACAGCACAAGCCCAGTGACAATGAGCCTAATTCAAGGCCAGTCCTGTGTATATGAGATGTGTGAAACTGTTTAACACACAATGAAAAGACAGAGCTGAAGGGGCAGGCCCCACTCCAAAGCAGGTTAGAGAACACAGTCTGCAGACCTTGGGTCTTGCTGATGGCTCCCATTCCAAAAACCTCAGGAGGTCACATCAGCTACAGACACTTCCCTAAGCTCCTCTCCCCAGGACTTGGGTCTCCATGCAGCAAGCTTGTTCTACTCTAGAATAACCCCAGATGCTAGAAGTAAGGATGAAACAGGGCTGAGAGTCACTGAGAGCCACTTCAGGCTCATAGGGCCTGGGGACCTTGTGTGATACTCGCAAGTTAAAGTCTCTCAAGCCCACTACCACAGGGGTCATCCAGATGAGGGATTCAATTCTTTTTTTTTTGGATTAGAAAATATAGTTTATTTTAAACGTAAATTAGAGCAAGGGAGAGAAAGAAAGAGGAAATTCACCTCCCCAAGGCAGGGAAGGGGGCCAAAGCCAGGAAACAGGGCAACAGCCATGGCTCAAAGAGCACAAGGCCACACCAGATTCTAGTAAGGCAATGGCTGAGGGGTTCAATTCTTAAACAAGATTCACATCATTCTGAATAAATTCAGATTCGTGGCAATGAAGGGATGTTCAAACTACCTGTGATTACAGCATTATGTAGAGGAAAGGGCATGGCCAGGTCCTCCACTTACCAGCTGTGTGAATCCGGGCAACATACTTCGGTTCCACCTTGCTCATCTGCAAATTCTGGAGGGTAGTAACCACTCGGATCCACTGTGATGTGGTTATAGTACAGGTTACAGTCGCAGCTTAATTATCATGCATGATCAGACTAGGTATTCATTCAATCCAAAAAGCTCATGAAAGTGGGAGAACCAAGATTATGGACACATTCACAAGTTACACATTTTTTTTAATAAATTTCTTTTTTTTAATTTTTTAATTTTTTTTTTAGTTGGAGTCTCATTCTGTCGCTCATTCTGAAGTACGATGGCACACGCCTGGCCACCACAGTCTCGACCTACTGGGTGATCCTTTCGCCTCAGCCTTCCAAGTAGCTGGAACTATAGGCGCACGCTACCATGCCTGGCTAGTTTTTGTGATTTATTTTAGACACGAGGTCTCACCAAGTTGCCCAGGCTAGTCTTGAACCCCCAGGCTCAGGCAATTCTCTAGCCTCAGCCTCCTAAAGTGCTGGGATCACAGGCTGAGCCACTGTACCCAGCTAGTACACATATTTTTAACGTACAAATGACTGGGCACCATGGCTCAAACCTGTAATCTCAGCAATTTGGGAGGCGGAGGTAAGAGGATTGCCTGAGCCTATGGGTTCAAGACCAGCCTGGGCAACTTGTTGAGACCTTATCTCTACAATAAACCAAAAAATTAGCTGGGTGTGGTAGCACAAGCCTGTATTTCCAGCTACTTGGAAGGCTGAGGCAGAAGGATTGCCTGAGCTCAGAGGGTCAACGCTGGAGTGGCGGTGAGCACGCCACTACACTCCAGCCTGGGAGACAGAGTGAGACTCCAACTCAAAAACAGCAACAACAACAAAAAAAACATACAAACATACCACCATTGCTGTAGGGTTGGGGGCTTCCTTTGACAATGGGCCTGCCAATCAGAAACCCATTATGCCTTTTTTTCTTAAAAATGACATTCATAATGCATCACCCGAGAGTTCCAGTTCAGGTTTCTTCACATGGAGTAAAAATTACAGACATGCCAGGCTCAGTGGCTCAGCCTGTAATCCCGCGCCTTTGGGAGACTGAGGTGAGTGGATTGCCTGAGCCCGCGGGTTCGAGACCCGCCTGGGCAGTGAGACCTCATCTCTACAATAAATAAAAAAAAATCAGCCTGGTGTGGTAGCACATGCCTGTAATTCCGGCTACTTGGAAGGCTGAGGCAGAAGGATCACTGGAGCCCAGCAGGTCGAGGCTGCGGTGGCCAGAAGCAGCCACTGCACTCCAGTCTGGGTGACAGAGTGAGACTCCAACTCAAAAAAAAGAAAAAATTACAGACATATGCAAAGGCACCTGCAACCTTTCTAGCTTGTACTACTTATGGTGCTAAGCCAATTGTGTGGTTCATGTTTGTCAAAAATGTAACACATTAGGTCGGGCACGGTAGCTCACGCCAGCAATCCTAGCACTTTGGGAGGTGGAGGCGAGAGGATTACCTGATCCCAGGGGTCCAAGACCAGCCTGGGCAACTTGGCGAGACCTCAGCTCTACAACAAATCAAAAAATTAGCTGGGCATGTTGGTGTGCGTCTGTGGTTCCAGCTACTTTGAAGGCTGAGGCGGAAGGATCGCCTGAGCCCAGCAAGTGGAGGCTGCAGTGGCTGGGAACATGCCACTGCATTACACTCTGGGTGACAGAGTGACACTCGGACTCAAAAAAATAAAATAAAATGTAATGTACTTTATCCAAGCACTCAACTTGGTTTTCATATACATGACTCTCTTTTTCTCATATTTCATGAGTTTATCATGACAATCAAGTTACATCATTTTAATCCAAGTGAAAACAACACCAACATGATAAATCTTGTCTAGAATTCAGCTCAATGGGGTGGGCTGAAGTGCAAGACAGCCGCCCTGTGCTGTCCCAGAAAGCCACTGGCTGGCTTATATGGGTATAGCACCCTAAGCAGCCTGCTACAGCATTTACCGTAGAGAAATGTATCATATCATCTCTGTCTTCCCCGTGCCTAGCATGGTGCCTGGATTGCAGGGAGGTCCTTATAACTATGGGTGATGCTGTCATAGGACTCGAGCATTTGTATTGGGCAAAGGTGTTAGGCTCTGAAGCGTCAACTGACTGTGAGACATCCCTAAGGAAAGCATCCTCCTCTACAACACAACCACTGGCTGCCTGAATCCCTATTTACTTACTAAACAAGCTACAAAATCAGGTACAGAAAACACGTACCTTTCCAGTGCACTCTTCTCCAGTCTTTCTGCCTCCTTCTTCTGCCGAGCTTTGTGCTTCTTGACACGTGTTTCCCACAAGGCTCTGACGACAGAAATGTCAAACACCACCACTTTGTGTCCCATTTTGGGAGCATGAAAGTACCTATTTAAAAAAAAATACATATACATCAGCTTCATACTCTTAACAAAAAAATAGTTTTTGTTTTGTTTTGAGTTGGAGTCTTACTCCGTCACCCCAGCTGGAGTACAGTGGCACATTCACGGTCACTGCAGCCTCAACCTGCTGGGCTTAGGCGATCCACCTCAGTCTTCCAAGTAACTGGAACAACAGGCGTGCGCCACCACACCTGGCTAATATTTTTAATTTATTTATTGTAGAGACAAGGTCTTGCCATATTGACCAGGCTGGTCTTGAACCCGTGGACTTAGGCAATCCTCTCGCCTCTGCTTCCCAAATTGCTGGAATTACAGGCGTGAACCACTGCACCCGGCACAAAATAGTTTTAACATGAACTTTAAAATGAAATATGAATCAATCACCTGGTGTAAGGAATGAGAATATGCCTTTTTATTTCCAGAATGGCAGTTTGCTAATGTTCGTAAGGTGTAACAGCACTCTGTGTAAGTAAATCACAGTTCAAGATTCAGCCACCATCAAGTAACAAAACCAAACATGGCACTGAGCTGACCATGCAGCCTGGAGACATGTGCTCTGAGGTTTCCCTGTAGCATGAACCCTCACAGACTACTGATCCATTTACTTCATTTTCCAAGTGCAAGGGAAGTCAGACTCAGGGACACCTTGGCCATCACATCTTAGTGGGACTTCAGAGATGATTTAGTCTAACTCCATTTCTTTTTTCTTTTCTTTTTTTTGAGTTGGAGTCTTACTCTGCCGCCCAGACTGAAGTGCAGGGGCGCTCCCGGCCACCACAGCCTCGACCTGCTGGGCTCTGGTGATCCTTCCACCTCAGCCTTCCAAGTAGCCGGAACTACAGGTGCGAGCTGCCAGGCCTGGTTAATTTTTGATTTATTGTAGAGATGAGGTCTCACCAAGTTGCCTGGGCAGATCTTGAACCCGTGGCCTCAGGCAATCCACTCACCTCGGCCTCCCAAAGTGCTGGGATTACAGGCTGAGCCACCAAGCCCGGCCTCTACTCCATTTCTGCAAGTGAAATATGGGAGCCCAGAAAAATGTTATGTATACCCACCAGCACCTACTATAGTACCTGGGACAGAGTAAGCCCTTCATAAATATTTGTCACTGCATGAGTGAGTAAATGAGTGAGTAAATAAAATATTTGGCATTCATATTTCTCTACTCTCAAGTCACTAACTGAGCTTTCTCTCTTCTTTTTATTTTCTCACTCTATGTTTGCTGTTTAAGTGATTATTTGCTTACTGGAAAATAAAAGCTAAAAAACTATTATCAGGATATAAAAGTGTATTTTTAGGCCAGATGCAGTGGCTCAAGCCTTTAATCACAACACTTTGGATACCAAGGCAGATGGATTGCTTGATCCCAGGAGTATGAGACAAGCCTAGGCAACATAGCAAAACCTCGTCTAGACAAAAAAATCCAAAAACTAGCTGGGTTTGGTGGAATGCATCTGTAGTCCTAGCTATTTGGGAGGCTGAGGCAGGAGGATTGCCTAGGCCCAGCAGGTTGAGGCTGCAGTGAGCTGTGAGCATGCCACTGCACTCCAGCCTGGGTGACAGAGTGAGACCTTAACTTAAAAAAAAAAGTTAACAATGTTGACCAATTTATTCCCTTTCTTTCTTTAATTTCTGATACCTGGGATTGTTTCTTTCCCCCCTTAAAACTTTTTTACCTAAAGGAGATTTTTGACAAAGTTGCAAATAGCACATCAGTTTTTGCATAGACATTTGTTTTCAATTCTCTTGGGTAAACACAAATCACTGGTTTATATTTTTCAGAAACTGCCAGACTGCTTTCAAAAGCAGTTGCATCATTGTATGTTCCCACCAGCAGTGTATGATGTTTCCTGTTTCTCCACATCCTTGTCAACACTTGTTATTATCTGTCTTTTTACTTAAGAGCTTTCTAGTGGGTGTGAAGTCATATCTCATTGTTTCTATTTGCATGTTCCTGATGGCTAATGATATTGTGCATCCTTTCACATGCTTATTGGACATTTGTTTACCTTCTTTGGAGAAATATGGATTAAAATCCTTTAGCCATCTTTAATTGGGCTAATTGGTCTTTTTATCTATTGCTGAGTTGTAATAGTACTTTACATGTTCTGGACACAGGTTCCTTACCAGAAACATGATTTTCAAAAATTTTCTTCCATTTTGTGAGTTGTCTTTCCACTTTGATTTCATCATTTTATGTTTAACCTAAATATATGCTTATTTGATGTGAGATTTTACAGACAGAATATTGCCAGATCATTTATTTAACTGATTCTGACAATCTCCATCTTTTAACTGGTATGTTTAGGCCATTTATATTTAATATAATTACTGATATCTTTGGATATAGGTCTGCTTTTTTTTTTTTTTTTTTTGAGTTGGAGTCTCACTCTGTTGCCCAGACTGGAGTGCAGTGGTCGCTCCCGGTCACCACAGCCTCGACCTGCTGGGCTCCGGCAATCCTTCCACCTCAGCCTTCCAAGTAGCTGGAATTACAGTCACGTGCTACCACGCCCAGCTGATTTTTTAATTTATTGTAGAGATGAGGTTTCACTGCCCAGGCGGGTCTCAAACCCACAGGCTCAGGCAATCCACTCACCTCAGCCTCCCAAAGGCGTGGGATTACAGGCTGAGCCACCGAGCCCGGCTAGGTCTGCTATTTTATTATTTGTTTTCCATTTGAGCCATTTTTTGTTTTCCTCTTTTTTGCTTTCTTAATTTTTTTATCTCAACATTTTTAGCATTTCATTTTATTTTCTCTATTACATATTTTACCGTCTCTTTGTGTAGTTTTTCCTTTTTTATGGTTGCCTTAGAAATTATAAAATACAGCTGGACATGATGGCCCACGCCTGTAATCCCAAAACTTTGGAAGGCAGAGGTGAGAGGATTGCCTGAGCTCAGGGGTTCGAGACCAGCCTGAGCAACATGGCAAGACCTCATCTCTACAATAAATCAAGTCAGCCAGGCATGGTGGCACATCCCTGTGGTTCCAGCTATTTGAAGGGTTGAGGTGGGAGGATCACCTGAGCCCAGAAGGTTCAGGCTACGGTGGCCATGAGCGTACCACTGCACTCCAGCGTAAGTGATAGAGTGAGACTCTGACTCCAAAAAAAAAAAAAAAGAAAGAAAGAAATTACAAGATACATACTTATGTCTTCATAGTTTACTTAGAAACAATATTTGGCCGGGCTCAGTGGCTCAGCCTGTAATCTCGCGCTTTGGGAGGCCAAGGTGAGTGGATTGCCTGAGCCTGCGGGTTCGAGACCCGCCTGGGCAACTTGGCAAGACCTCATCTCTACAATAAATCAAAAAATTAGCCGGGTGTGGTAACACGTGCCTGTAGTTCCAGCTACTTGGAAAGCTGAGGCAGAAGGATCACCGGTGCCGGAGCCCGGCAGGTCAAGGCTGCGGTGGCCGGGAGTGTGCCACTGCCCTCCAGTCTGGGCGACAGAGTGAGACTTCAACTCAAAAAAAAAAAAAAAAAGAAACAACATTTTACCACTTCAAAAGATATGTAGAAAGCTTACCACTATATAAGTCCCCCATGCTCCTGCCCTTATGTTGTAGTTATCTTATGTATTATATCAACCAATATTATATGTTTGGCTTTCAATAATCAAACTTATGTTAAATAACTCATGAGAAGAAAATTAACCCACTATATTTACCTTGATATTTACTGTCTCTGTTGCTCTTTCTTCCTTCCTACTATTCAGGTTCCCCTCTGTTACCATGTCCCTTCCATCTGAAAATGTTCTCTAGCAATTAGTTTAGGCCAGGCACGGTGGCTCACACCTATAATCCCAACACTTTGAGAAGTAGAGGCAAAAGGACTGCCTGAGCCCAGGGGTTCAAGACCAGCCTGGAGGCTGGGCTCGGTGGCTCAGCCTGTAATTCCAGCACTTTAGGAGGCCAAGGCAAGTGGATTGCCTGAGCCTGCGGGTTCGAGACCCACCCGGGCAACTTGCTGAGACCTCATCTCTGTAATAAATCAAAAAAATTAGCTGGGCATGGTAGCACGCGCCTGTAATTCTGGCTTCTTGGAAGGTTGAGGCAGAAGGATCACAGGAGTCCAGCAGGTCAAGGCTGCAGTGGTTGGGAGCATGCCACTGCACTCCAGCCTGGGTGACAGAGTGCAACCCCAACTCAAAAAAAAAAGGACTAGTCTAGGAAAGTTGTCAAGCCCTCATCTCTACAATAAATCAAGAAAAATTAACTGGGCATGGTGGCGCACACCTGTAGTTCCAGCTACTTGGAAGGCTGAGGCAGAAGGATCACCTGAGCCCAGCAGGTTGAGGCTGCGGTGGCCATGATCATGCCACTGCACTCCTGCCCGGGTGACAGAGTGAGACTCCAACAACAACAACAACAACAACAACAACAAAACAATTATTTTAGAGGAAATATGCTGACTAATTCTGTTTTCCTTCATCTGAGGATGTCTTTTTCTCACCTCCATTCTTAAGGATTATTTTTGCTGGATGTAGAATTCTGAGGTGACTGTTTTTAGTTTTCACATTTTAAAAATGTTGTGCTTTTCTCCTTTTGCAGCCATCGCAAAGCAGTAGCGGCCAGAATGAAGTTCAATCCCTTTGTGACTTCAGACCAAAGCAAGAACCACAAAAGGCATTTCAATGCACCCTCACACATTCACAGGAAGATTATGTCTTCCCCTCTCTCCAAAGAGCTAAGACAGAAGTACAATGTTCGATCCAGGCCCACCTGAAAGGATGATAAAGTTCAGGTTGTGCAAGGACACTATAAAGGTCAGCAAGTTGGCAAAGTAGTCCAGGTTTACAGGAAGAAGTATGTCATCTACATTGAACAGGTGCAGCAGAAAACTGTCCATGTGGGCATTCACCCCAGCAAGATAGTTTATCACTAAGCTAAAACTAGACAAAGACCACAAAAAGATCCTTGAACGGAAAACCAAGGCTCACCAAGTAACTAGGAAAGGAAAACGGCAAATACAAGGTAAA